CCCAGAGGGCTCTTACCCATCATTGACTACCAGCCATCCTCTGGGCCAAGTAGGGTGATGTGAGGTTCAGTTCTGTCTCCTTGTTAACCTATGTCCCTCTGGCCTCCATTGCCAGCAACTGCCTTTGGATCTCCTCGCCTGCTGGCAGGGCCCCGGCATTGATCACATATCTTGGGGAACCCAGGTTTCTTCTCCAGAGAGGGCCCAGCTCACGCCATGGGGCGAGAGACAGATGCATGGTACCAGCCACCGTGACCTCAACATTAACAGAGATCTCAGGCAACAGCTGTGGGCAATTGGATAGTAAGAAGAGGATCCCTCTTGACACAGGGGCAAGAGGGGCCAATACAGGACAAAGGAGGGTCCCAGGACAGGCTTTCTCAGACCAGGATGTCAGGCTCTTGGCACAAGACAACTTCACATATGGGGCATATACCAGACACCCTCTAGTCACGGCAGAAAAGGGAGGTGCCCTTCCTGGAACAGTAGGGTAGGGAGATTCTAGAAAAGGCTGTGTTCAGGAGAGAAGGAGAAAGGTCAAAGAACCAGCAAACAAGTAGTTAGATTTATAAAAAGAAAAAGGAAAGGGGGTATGGGGCAAAGCTGGGACATAAATTTTTAAGCATCAAGAACAAAAGACTACCATAATGAAAGTAAAACTTAAGCATTAAGAACAAAAGTCTGGCTATTAAAACAATAACAAGACAGTGCCCATGCAAAACCCAAAACATTTTAGAACTTAAACATAACATTTTAAAACTAGTAAGAATAATAAAACAATGGCAATGAAAAACAGCAATAAGTGAGTTTCTGCTAAATGAAAATTTCTTTTGCTGATTTACTCAGAGTCCTCGGACTTGGCGGAGAGAGTAGCTTCCACTTCTTGCTTTTCTATTATCTGCTGGGCCTCAGTTGTTAACTTCTTCAGCTGACCCCATGTTGGCACCTCAGTCCCTTGCATAACCTTCCTTTTCTTCTTTTTTTCCGCTTTTCTGTCATCAGGGCAGCTCTAAGTCTTTGGAACAAGGGGACAAGGAGCTTCTCTGGGTCCATTGTGGTGATACACGTAATGCTCTGGTACCCAAATTGGCTGGACTGCTCCTTCTGGAAAAATACAAAACACAACCTCTTCCCCACATCATTACTAGATCTGGTAAAACTCTTGTCTGGTTTGTGTATCCTTCTACCAGGCTGAGTGGGCAGAGGCTATTGTACAGGACGCCTGATGCTTTTTGGCTGCTGTACAACCCTCTGCATTGTATTTCCCAAAAGTCTAACATTCTCCCCACCCCCCCCCTTTTTATAGAAAAGGTTTATACTTTTTGTTTTAATCAGACCAATGAGTAACATATTTTGAATTCCTGATTATTCAGAGAAAACAGAAAATTATTTATGCATTTAGCTACCACAAGTACACAATTTCTCCCAATTCAATCCGAACCTTAAACTTTTAGCTGGCAAGTCAAATATTTAGCATTTCTTAATCAGTAGCATTTTTAAGAATAAACTTCAAAAATGCAAGACATAATCAACTAACAGATTTAATTCTGTTCTCTAGATTTTTCATGAGGCAAATTTAGATTATTGAACAATTTTTATAATTTGATTTAGTAAACTTTACTTTTTACTTTCACGCGGCTCTGGAGAACCACATTTGAGCCTTGCAAAACAGGTTCTGGCCTACCTGGTCTTTTCAGATGTAAATTGACCACATTCTTTAAGATTTTGCTACAGGCGGGAGGCGACTATCCCCTTCCTCCATTAAGAAAAGCTTTCTTAACAAAGGACCAGTTTTTTTTTTATTTGTTTGTTTGTTTTACCTTGGAACAACCTTTAAAAACTTCTTTATTATGGAAATGCCAATC